TAGTAGATACTATATATATAAGACTATTAAGTTATATATAATATAAGTTTAAAGATATTATCTCTCTAAAGGTAGGTATATATAAGGTTATAGTAAAGAGAGTACTTATATTCCGCTAAGTGCCTAGGTAGGGTATAGGTGGTTATAAGAATTATCACTATATTATTAAGGCTTACTTACTTTAATAATATAGTTAAGTACTTATATACTCTTTATATAACTAAGCCCTCTTAATATTAATAGTAGTCTATATTAGGTAGTTAGTAGTAGCTTATATCCTTATAGTAGGTTACTAGGGCCTTAATAGGCTACCCTCTCCCTTTTAATATTATCTCTAATATTATATACTTATCCCTTATCTTATATCCTCTCTCTTCCTTTTTATAATATCCCCTTTATATTATAACTATTTTTTTATAATATTTATATTATATTATATATTATAATTATTCTTATATCTTTTATTACTTTTATATTTATCTTTAATAACCTTTTCTTTATTAACTCCTTATATATACCTTATTATTATAATCTTATAAATACCTTCTTATATACTTTTTATTTTCTTTTTATTTTCTTATTATTTATTACTTATTAAATATATATATATATCTTTAATAATATATATATTTATTTATAATCTCTTTTAGGTATTTATTATTTATATATTATTTTTTTATAAGTTTATTATTACTTTTATTAGTATTTACTTTTTTATTTTTTTTATATTATATATTTAGTAAATTATATATTTCTTTATATATTTATAAAGATATTCTTTATAATCCTACTTTCTTCTTCTTTTTTTTTTCTTTTTTTTAATCTTATTAAATTTTATATATATTAAATCCCCTTATCTTCTTATTATTTCCTTCCTTCCTTATTATAATATTATTACTACCTTATATTTACTATTTTTTTAAAGTATTTTTCTCTAGTTTAGTTATATTAGCTAGCCTTAAATTTATTAATTTTACTTAATTTATATCTCTTAGCCTTATTTTTCCCTTCTTATTTTTTTTATTATATTATTATTTTATCCTCTTTTCTTCTTTATTTTACTTTACTACTAGCTCTTTATAACCTTATTACTTCTTTTCTACTTAGACCTTATTAACTTACCTTTTCCTTATATAGTTTAGTTTAGTTCCACTTACTCTTACCTTACTATAACTTTACTATACCTTTACTTTTACTTATTTACTACCTTATTAAGGCTTTCTTTTAATATATCTATTTCTCCTTTACTACTACCTTATTACTTACTAACTATAACCTTATAAGTTATCCTCTAAGACTTATACTCTCCTCTTTATAGCTATTATAATAATAGTTATTAATACTACTAATAAGTAAGTACTTTACTACTTCTTCTTTTCTTATTTATTACTAACCCTTTTTAGTCTTTAGATTATTAGTAATATATATATTACCTTTACCTTTCTCTTTTACCTTTTACTAACTTATTATATATTTATAACTTCTTTTATATATATATATAATACCTTTATTATATAGTTTATAATACTAATAAATAAAAAGATTATTACTTTTAGTCTAATAAGCTTATTATTATCTTATTATTAGCTTACTATTAACTAGTTACTTTATAATTAATTTCTTAAAGTATATTAAATACTTATATAATAATAAAGACTACTTTATATTTATTATAAGTAAATAATAAATATATAACTTATTTTATAATAAATAATATTATAATATTATCTTTATTATAAGTTTATTATAACCTTTACTTAGTTTTTTTACTAACTTATAATAAGTTACCTAAGAAGTCTTTAATTACTAGGCTATATCTAGTTATTATAGCTTTATTAAGTCTATATTATAAGCCTATTATTACTAAGCTCTTTATATTAAGTAAGTAATAACCTTATAGGCTATTATAGCTATTACTACCTTATTACTTACTATCTTTATAGTTACTATTACCTTACCTTCTTTTATTATAAATACTATTACTATAACTATATTATAAGCTAATTATAATATTATTATTATTATTATTATATCTTAGTTATATTATCTTTATTATTTTATTTCTAGCTTTTATTATTTTATTATTAGTTTACCTTTTCTTTATAACTTACCTATTAGGGAAGAGGGATAAGCTAGGATATAAAGGGGTTACGTATAAGGG